ACTTCAGCGCACAGGCTATGAAGAGCCGCTTTCAATGTAGACGCAGGTTGCAATGTGGGAGTTCTCAAATCCATTTCAATAGAATCTGTGAAAATATGCTAGCTGGGCCACCCAAAGTATATAGAATCACGGCCTTTTGGGCTGTTTAAATAGTGGGTTTGGCCAGCCCAGGTACTGATGCCCCCTAGAATCCGCATAGATGCCTACGGTCCCCAAACCCTTCCCAGATAAGGTTGAGAATGCTTCCATGGTTTACTGTGTTTAGTAGGGAATAAGGGAATATGTGATATATAGGTTAAATCGGGATTATATTCCTTTCTTCCCTATTCACCCCTGGTAAGATAATGTTATACAAAGCTACTCGGCCTTGCATAACACAATTCTTGGCATCGCCTGATCGATATGGAGTACTGCTGCGGAGTGAGTGGGCTTCGCAGAGCACGGTGGGCTCCTATGGGGTGTCTGGTATGTAGTACGGGTAAAAAACTTAGGGTGCCAGAATTTTGCAAATGACCCATATCATCCCAACAACATTCCTGGGGGACTTTTAAAGGCCGTCAGATGCTCCCATATGTGAGACCTTGTGAGTTGATGAGCTGCTTCGCCAACAATGTTCCAAGACAACCGCTGCAAGGCCACAGGACCACACCAAGAGGGTCCCAGAACTTCCAGAAGAAGACATGATAACCCACCTGCCCCTAGAACGCCTACATCTTCCCCAACCACAAGAACCGCACAACATCTCCCCTGCAGATTCCTTGCATTTCCTGCTGCGCCAAAGTAGGGATGCTCATGGAGCCCAGGCTCCGGGGCAACCCGACCGTCGCACGGATCCTGGAAGAAAGGTGAGGCCCTCAGCTTTCAAGAATTTTCAAGTACTGGGTAGGTTTTGGGATGTTTAATATTTTCCCTCATGGCTTAAATAAGGGACCCTACATACTAATATTTTTCAAAGAGTTTTAGGGGCCAACCCAGAGTAGGATACTCTACAGCCGTAGTATTGCCTCCTTCACTTCGTCTTGAGCGCTGGGAAGTCGAGCGCGGGTCAAGGAAGCCAGAAGTGGACTCTGGGATCGCCGGGTCTTGGTAGTTTCTCAGAGTAACTCTTGCATGATGCTTGGGAGGGATCCTCGACTATTAGAAGCCTCCTATGTATGGTATTGTAGTTGTTCAACATGCTTGTCCCCAAAGTGGCCATGAGGTAGGTTTACTTAGCTTCCTCGAACACTTCCCGCCTTCATCAATACCCAGTGCCGTGACCGGGGCTGCTCGCACAATTCTCTTCCCCCCCCCGGTACGGGGGCAGGACTTGATCTTCTTCCCTTAAAATATCTTGAGACTGCGTTCTCAAGAAGTTGTCACGTAATCTTCTACACACCAGCCCAGGCCAGAACTCCAAGAGGATCCTGCCGCTTTGCAGCGCTACCTTGAGGAGCAGTGGAGTCAAGGGCTCCGGGATTTTCTGAACACCAGTGACACTGTTTTGAATACAATTGTTTTGGGGATCTGTCTTGGTTTGGGCCACGCCTTTACCTTTACCCAAGCCCACCTTGAGATCCGCGCTCAAGCGGCCTCCATGCTCTGAAGCTAGCACAGACTGTCTAATGCGGAGAGGCATGGCGTGATGCCAGCAGAGCTTGACATTTCTGAAGCTAGGATATCCATGCCAATAGGCCACCGGCCAGTTTCATGTGGAAGTTTTGCGAGACCGCACCATACCATGCGCAGGAGCATGGCGTGATTGAGGACATTTATGCCGAGTTAGAGACCAGATGCTTAGCAGCAAGCAGGCCATCGTAGTGGAGCAAGGCTCACATGCAACGTGTGCTTTGGAAAGGATGGTGAGCTCGCCAGATCAGGGCACATGAACGCTGAGGGACAGAAGTAGTGATGCAGAATGCAGAAAGAGGTTGTTGGCTAGAAGGTGTCATTTTTCGCCTGGCGTTTTTCTTGAGGCCATGCTTGGAGGCAGGACCAGATCAGGAAGGAAGTCATCCAGCGCTTTCAATGTCGGTTTTCTTTTCCTGTGCAAGACATGTCCATGGCTGTGTCTGATGAGACGCAAGACTACAACGGTTGAACAAGTCTTCCAGAGCCGCGCTCAACAAATACTGGGTTGCACGCAGTCAACATTTTATTACCACTGCCATGCCACAGGGAATGGAAAGGCGCTTTTCAGAGCATCGCATGTCACAATGGCCCCACAGCGGCCAGGAAGCCCAAGCTACGAAGAATGTTCCTCCAGGATGAAGATTCCAGAACATCCGATGAACCCGTTGTTTCTGATTTACGTAGTTCTTGATGGGGGACCCCGATGTTGGCACTTCCCTAAACCCTAAGCCCTAAGTCCTACGTAAGCCCTGAGACCTAAGCCCTAAACCACTGCTCTGAGGCCTGCTGAAGCCGGAGGCTTGCTGAGACGGGAAGAGCCCGGGGTACCATTTCGGGGGTGCCCCCCTATTTGGGAAACTACCGTTTAGGGGTTGTTTTGGGATATATAGGGGGATGGAAAAGAAAATGGAAGCTACAAGTTAGGGTTCAGGGAATGAAGGGCCCGTAGGAAGTGCAGAGACATCTGGGGAGTACAAAGGGATTTAACCTTAAACCCTAAACCCTAACTACATTCAGCATTTCAGAGAGGCATCTCTAACACTTTTAAATTGGGTGCTTCTCAAACTTTGTGTGCCCAAAATGAGCTGTAGTCTAAAGGGGGTCGTAAGGAGGATTAATAAGGGGAGTACTATAGGGGTTATTCAAAGGGGATGCTCGGAGTTTAGACCATAGCTCAACTGTGCGGCCCTAGATCGAGTGCTAGAAGTTGAGGCTACAATTTTATTTGGGGCTCGCGAAGAAGGGCTTCCAAAACTTCAGAAGTTGTGCTGCAGCGGAGGATCAGAGGCTCCTGATCTTTGTTACCCTAGAAGGCACTCGTAATCCCCACTAAGATGACTCCTTTCTTCAGTAAACCCCACGTCTCGCATGGTAGTCTTATGGAGGCAGCAGTCCAACGAGTAATGCCCAGACAGAGGCCTGAACCTATATGAGCTGTAGTCTAACTTCCTTAAAAGGGCGCCATATAGGGGACTATTATAGCGGCTATTAAGGAGGATGCTAGGAGTTTAGACTCTAGCTCATATGGTATCATACAGGAAATTGCACTGTATTATACTTCATACGTAGACTCTCTCTTCTTAGTTCCTCAGAGAAGGTCTTGGACTGAGCCTTCGTGTGATTAGGGGATCTTCGTAGTGGGGTCCTGGAGCTAACTCCCTGTAACGCGCGCCTAAGCCCATAACCCTAAACCTAGAAAGCCTGAAGCTGATACCTGAAATTCTGAGCAATCTTGAGCGTCGAGTTGCTCGAGCGTGGCAGGTTCCCAGTGAGGCGCTTCGCCCAGTACCTCCACCAGAGGCTGGAGAGTCTGGAGTGCAGTAACACGAAAATCTAGAGAAAAAATGAAGGGACCAAAGAAGCACGCGAACGAATTAGAACGGCAAGCCAGCCACACTATGCCGCCCGAAGCGTTATCCTTTTTTCGTTTCCATCAGGGAAGGTTTTCTGCGGTAATGAAAGTAGAGCTGAACTCACCAAAGAGGGAGCCAACAAGCACTGTGACAAATCTTCACTTGCAGGTTCAGGGCAACTAACAAATTACAGCTGGCAGTTATAGCTCAACCATGACTATGCGAGGGCACCCCGGGGTTTATGTTGGGATTCTAAGTACACTATAGTTGGGCCTATTCCCTCTTATCCATACAAATTCCAGTTTCAAGTTCATAATCATTCTCCATGTCATTCCCTATGTATACCTTGACTTTCTCAAGTAGACTCTGAAGTACCATCGTCATCAAGGTGCTCGGCCGGGACAACTCCGGCAGCACTGACTCAGCCGCGCAGCCCGCACCTCGAGTCCTACTGATACTGAAGGGGGAGTGGAGTAGTAGTGCATAGAGAGGTACCCTGATACAGGTATACATGGGGATGATATAGGGATCCACCCCCCCACTCTCCCTCAATCACGAGTAGGGAGTCGGATGATGCATGAAAGCGATATGAATCTTGACCCTGAACCGCAGCCACCTCAGCTCTTTTGGCAATCAGCTCCAGCACCTTGCTCAGATCTCTGGCTCCTGGGTTGCTGTTGTTGGCAACAGTCTGGGCTTCTGGGGTCCAAAGAATTTATATTGGGGTTATAGAGGGATAATGGAAAATAGAATGGACACTACTATAGTATATTGGGGTTATATAGGGGACTACTCTTGGGGCTATTAATTATGGGTCCTTTTCTGTTTGATGCCTGCTTGTGGAGATGTTGTACTGTGAGGGGCAGGGTCAAAGGCGGCGACAAGCTGCATTGGCCCCGGGTGCACTAGTGATAAAGGGACCTTCATGGGCACCGCAAAACAAGGCACCCCAAGAAAATAGAAGGAACATAAAAAGGAATGTAAGGACCTTGGTAGGTACGTTCTTATTATGGTTCTAAAGTCTTGGGCCTTTACTCCCTTTAGGTGAATGAAGACCTTGAGGGGCTCTGCCCTGAAGTAACTTGTGGCGTCGTCCACATTGGCAGACAACAACACTGAGCTCATCTTTCCATGTTTCAGGAGCCTCCTAGTACCCTTAATGGGGGCGAGATGGCCCCTAACGGTGGGTACGGACGCCTAAATAGAGGGTAGTTGCAGGGCCTAGGTTCCTGAGTCATAGGCTTGAATTCTTCAAGAAGGACAAATGATTGCCTGACCGGGACATTCCCAACAGTTCCCTTTGCATTGAGTCTTGAGACATGCGAGAAGCGTATGCTGTCCTTGTTGGCCTTCACAGAACGCAAGAGATGTGGGACGAGCCACATGTGTCCATGTACGCATTTGGCAAGAGACCGAGTGAGCGGTTTCTTGGGAAACTAGTGGGGTTGTGCTGAGCTTACATGGTACAGTTCACTTTGGAATTAGGTGGTCCATTTCCTATCAGGTTTGCAAATCAAGCTGTTACTCTCCAAGGATATGTCAAGTATGGCGCAGCAGCAGCACGTGGTTTTCGTCAACATCGCATCCGCTGGGCACATGAACCCCACTTTGCCAGTGGTGGCCGAACTGCGCCGCCAGGCTGCAATGCCGCAAAGCTCTATGAGGTTGCGCTTCAAAAGCAGCTCGCTTTCCTTCGTCCTAGAATGCGCGTGAGTGTGTATGAGTAGGCGGCTTCCCATCTTTTTGGCTAGTCAAAGCGCAATGCTACATGACAAGCTTGAAGGCTTGAAGAAACGTCAGTATGAGACTCAAGAGTATAGTCCATGGATGAGTCAAGGACGCGGTTTGATCCCTCCCAAAGTGGGGTGGGGAGGTTCCCAAGATCAGGGGTACCTTTTCGGGGGTCCCTATACTATGGATTATACTGAATTGAAGTCCCCCTATTTACGGAAACCACCAGTACAGCATGGGCTGCAGGAGTGCTTGGGCTTGGGAACATCCGGTTTGAGAAGCGCTTCGTTTGAGCAATTTTCCCAAAGGCCCACTATTGTGTACAGGGATTGCTTCAATGGTCCGTCCAATCAATTAGGGCCTTTTAGTCAAAACGTAGAGCTTGCTCACCTCGCAGTTCAAAGCATGCATCTACTGATTGCAGAGACCACATAATGCCGTAGCTTTGCGAAAAGTTCCCCCGCATGAGCTAGACTCTGCAAATGTTCGATATTGCTTTGCTGATTACAGCAGCACCGCGATGTCTGCAGGTCGCAGGCAGTCAAGCCTTGAACCACTCACACCAGCCCTCAGCTCTGAAGCCAAGGCTCGCGAGGCGTGGCTGTGCCCTTCTTCAGCAACATCTTTAGATTTTCTAAGTTTTCGAACCATCTAAAAGACATCTTCTCTGACCGCAAAATCTTCACCCTGAGCTGTGAGTTAGATTCGAACTTTCTTCAGGTGGCGGTAACCTATTTCGTGGCTGCCAAGATGCGCGAGGCTTCTGAGCATGTGTGCTGTCGTAGGTTCGTACTGTCAGGAGGTTTGATCATAGATTTGGCTTCCCTAGAAGACTTTGGTCGAATCCTTAATTGTCACATTTCCAAACAGGATTCAAGGTCCTAGCGTAAGATGTTGTGAATTTGGCAATTACCGCATGGGAGTTTAAAATGACAGTTAGGCGCTGCAGAAGACAGGGGGACATTGCTCTTTGAGCCCTTACTATGAAGAATGACCTTATCGGATGTCCCTGTAATGGCATTCATGTAAAAACGCTCCTCTCAAGGCAATGCACAGTAGTCCGCAAACTGCCCAGACCTGCAACCGTAGGAGAGTTTACTTCGCCTGAATGCCAGTGGGAAACTGGAGTGAGCCATGTTTTTGAAAGTTGTGGCGGAGTTTCCCATTATCCTTTCAAACCCCTGAAAGCCACAAATGCCAGCAATGATTCTCATGAGAGGTTGTTGAAGCAGCAGGGGCCGCTTGGAAGAACCTGGAGGCCTGGCTGTGATGCCTAGAGGCTGAACAGCCTAGCGGTATACAAGGCTCCATGGGCCTGCGTTTTTACCTGACATGATGAGTTGGCAACGGCCATGCTTGAAATCTTGAAGCAGCATGCTTCGAAGCTCAGCAATTTCAACAACTTCCACTTGCATTCGCCTAGCAAGTGGTGTGGTGCTTGCACACTGCAACCTCCATGTCCTAAGCCCTTCAACGGCTCGAATAGATGTTGGGATATGTTGGGATGTTGCGAGCTTTGATTGAGAGGACAGGGGTTTTGATTGGAGTAGTTTGGCTAAAGCACAAGTTTCTGGTTCTCCATGGGTCTAAACCGGCTGCGCCTGGAGGAAATCACACACCTCAGCGAGGAGCAGAAGGCGAAATATGTTCCGGAGGGCATGCCAGAGGAGGAGTACGAGTCGCTTGCCTCAGCCACGTGAAGAGGCTTCAAATCATAGGGGGTTCTTCTAACAAGTATTCTACAGTTTGCCCATTGTCCCTGATTCCCTGAGATGGCATCATAGGTAAGTAACAACGCTGAAGCTGGCACAGACCCTCACAACACTAGCTTGTCCTTCCTTCCAAGGAGGGTGGGGTGATGCCAGCGCTCAGCCAGGTACGCGTACTCACCACAACCGCACCTAACCCGAAAGGCATCGTAAACCCAGAACCCTGTTTTTCATCTATGCTCGCCTTCCTCCGGCAAGCCTTACCACTCATCATTCAGGAGGGTCGCAACATGTCTCAACATTGCGGTCGTACTAAATGCTCACAACATTGAACATGGCAGAACCAAACCCGCCCGAAAGATCCGCCCTTCTACGGTGATAAAAAGGCTGTAGTCTCGGTAGACCTGCAGTAGTATGTTTAATAATTCCTTCGGGTTATACGGTTTAGGGTTTAGGGTCTAGTGATTCTTAGGGAGACTACAGACGTGCCAAGGCAACCCCAACAACTGTTTTTGGACCCATCATGGACCGTGACCCAGCCATCCCCAGACCCTAAATCAGAAGGATAAAATGGTAATATTGGTTTTAAATAGGGGTTACATAGGGGTTATCTAGGGACAACGGAAGAGAAAATGGAAAGCTATATAGGGTTCTATAGGGATAATGGAAAAGAAAATGAAAACTACTGTTTAGGGTTTAGGGTTATCTAGAGGCCTCAATAATGACCACCGCTATATCTTCCAAAACCACTCTTATGTGGTTGCGTTTGATGTACCCAAGACCCTGTCCTATTGGTTTTCTGCCCTTGCACTGGGGATGGTAGATTCCATTCCTTGCAAGGCTACGCGCAATCCTTTGTAGACACCCTGACTTGTCTAGGTAGGGAAAAAGCGTATAGCCAGGTGATAGCCTTGTTGTTGCCATGGTAGAGAACCTGAATGCGCTGCAACATGCCTACTTAGCTCAGAGAGCCGAACTAAGTCCAATGCAAAATCCACATGAGCAGCACTCGTTAGGTATGTAGGGGCTGTGGGCGTAATTGGTTGCGGCGTAGTTTCGCATAGGCACGTGTTATGGTCTCATCCGTTTAGTCTGCGTAGTTTGTATGTTCTCTAAGCAGCAAGAGGGAGAATAGACAATTCTATAGCCCAGGAATACCACGTAGTCCGCGTAGGCCGCACGATAGCAAGAGTGTGTTCACGCAGTCTGTTCTGCAAGGAAAACAGTGATCCGCGTAGTTTGCGAAGGCAGTCTATCTTAGCACAAAGACCTTAACCTTAAAAATCAATGTTCACATGCTACTGGTCAGCATCCAAATCTGCTTCAGAATTTCCCGATGGTCCAGCCCTAGATCAAAATCCCACGATCCCTTCCAAACCTCTCATGCCAATTTGTCTCCTAGAAATCTGTTCTAGTATAAGTCCCTTAATCCTAGATTTGCAACCCTCTCAACACCAAACAACTGCGGAACTCCAAACCCTGAACTCTAAATCCTACCCCTATCCCATCAACCCAACCCCAGAAACCCAAAGCTGCTTGAAACTTTGAGAACCCTTGATTTTTGCACATGCATACATATTCCTGCATACCTCCACGCCCTGAAAGGGCATCTGCTGTGTTTTCAATAGCTTCGCAGTCTCGCTAAACCCTAAATCCTAAAACCCACAACCTAAACTCCAAATCCTAAACCCTAAACCCTTAGCCATGTATACCCCTTTTTTGCGAAGCTCTGAGGTTTCCTGTGAGCATGGTCGCCGGAGCGGCTTTTCAGCTTCCTGAGCTGCTTGCCGAGCTGATGCCTGGACTTGGCTTGAGCTTACTCGGTTAAAGGGGTGTATACTTGGTGGCCCTATGTAGGTCATCAATTAGGACTGTTGTTCTTAGGGTTGGGGGGTTTATGGAAAATCAAGGGCGGGGTGGGGTTTAGCATAAAATCAACAATGAAATGGGAACTAGGCTTTAAACGGGTTATATAGGACCAATCAAATTCTTGAGGTTTAGGAGGCTCCGTTGAGAGTCTAACTAACAGCCAAGTTTACAAGAGTTTGCACCTTTCCATTTCAGGGTTCACGGGCGAACACAAATCCTGCCAGATGATTAATGACAGCAGGTGCCCAATTTCGACAAGAAGCCATATGCTTTCAACCAGGGTGTTTGTAGGGAACAGATTCTCCACCATGTCATCGTCATCTGAGTTTGAGTACGCCAGTTTGTTGAGACCAATCTCAAACTCAGACTCAATGTGTACTGTTCCATGCGTTTCGGTGGCTGAGGAAAGGCCTCAGCCCGCCTCCAACGGTCATCGCCTACGATCCCTTCTTGCCTCATCCGCTGGTGGGCTTCACAGAGATCGGGCATACGGAAGCTCTCTGCAGCCGTGTCAATGACTTTACGGGTTTTGATGAATGAATCACCTGGTCTATAGCGCCCCAAAATAATTGGCTCAATTGCACAGGGCTCTGAGAGTCAGGATGCTTGCTTTCACGGGCGCACCCCAGCAGAAGCACGTTTGATACAAGTACTGCATCAAGAAGAGGGACATCCTAAGCTTTGCAGGCGCGAGCAGACAGGGACATGGCAGTCACCCTGAGTGCCCACAAGTCCTACCAACGTAAGCTTTGCAAAGCTGAATCCGACACACGAGGCTCTGACACCCTGAAGCTAATGGTGTGTGTTTGCCCATTGTTCCCCATCCCTTCCGCCATCGCCGGCCACTGGTAAGATTCCTCTGTGAACTAGTGAAACCCTCCTATGCCACCACTTGGCCATCTTCACGCATCTTTTTGCTACTGGCACCACCAGAACATTTGCCGCAGCCACCAAGCACCAGCTGCACCAGGTGGCAGCGCGAGTGCTGGGCCTTCCTGCCGTAAGCACGTTACTGGGCCTCTAAGGTCCACGCACGAGGGTGTTTTGAGGCTTCACCTTTGTAGGTGAGCGGGGAGGATTCCAGTGAAAGCCTAAGAGTTGGTGTTCCCGGGTCTAGGGTGAAAACTTCAGGACAAGGGCTGTTTAGGGATATGAGCTTCTTCTTTTTTTCGATGAGGTTGGGGCTTGGGATCTTTGATGTGTGAGGTTGAACCTTCGGAGGAGAATGCACGCGTACCGCAACTGTCCCATGAGCCAGAATTCTTATGCTAGGAACCCTCAATTTTCGAAGTAATTACTCAAAGAATCAGGTAATAAACGTCTTTCAGATTATAGAAATACTTTGGGGTCTGATAACCAGCTATTTGGGTACTCCGACCCTTAGGACCTCTAACATCCTAAACCCTGGGCTCAGGGGCCCTGCTGGGCCCGACTCCAAAAGCTTGATCCATGAAAAACATGCTCGCAGTCAGCCATGAAATCTTGTTTATGGTGCCCGGAAGACCGTCATGCCCAAAGGTTGCGTTGACAGGAGTAGAAATATCGTCTAAGTTTGCAATGAGAGCTACCATAGAATGACATGGGTAGTAAGTGAGGACAGATACATCTGCGATCATCAGTGAGAATGAAGTCAGAGCTTGCGAATGAGTGGTAAGCATTTTGCGCCTGATTACAACAGGATTTCGGGAAGCCCAACCCCCCAGATTTAGGTCTCTAAGTAATATAGCCCGATGACATCCTCATGGGGTCCTAGTTCTGGAGTGTTGAAATGTCAAAATTCATTACCTGAAGCCCTGCAACCAAGGCTGACGATGCCTGGGCCCGGAGTCATCGAGCGTCCGGCACATGTCATTGCCAAATGGGAATCCAACGAGGTGAGGGCACAAAAGCTGAGCCAGGGTCAAGACTACTGCAAGACGCATGTATGATTTAGGAGCTTCTCATGAAGCACGTTTTGTACAAGCCCTGACAGCGGCTTCAAAATCCATGTGTAACATCCATGCATCCCCAGGGTTCGTGATTTTGAGAACCCCTCGTTTGTATTCAAATCGAGGGGTTTTGTGCGCACTGTGTATGGCACGCCTGTTATGTAAGACTCAGGCGACAATTATAATTACGTGTTGCTCCAGTTGTGGAATCTCCTGTGCAGAAGGACATTTGAGGCCGAATTCACTACATAAGGCGGTTTCTTAAGAGCCCATCTGGGCTTTTCGACGCTGTGGGCACCTATCCGTCCTATCCTGATACCGATCCTGCAGGTGGCTATTCGGGCCCACAAGGAGATCAAGGACTCTTTACGGGTCCTTTCGGTTTAGGGGTTTAGGGTTTAGGGAGGCTGATGACTTTTGATGGGAGGATTTGTGAGGTTTAGGGTGAGTATAACCCTTATGTTATCACCTCCTGAGGCGATGAAATACTGCAGTTCATTGTCTTGTGGCGGGGGTTGTAGTTGTCTCGCTGAAGGTATGCCGCCTAATGCTAAGCATTGTAATATAATATTTGGGAAAGACTTAATAGCGGGTGGTTTTTTTACAATGTTAGTACTTGGGCGAGCTGATGACTTATATGGATCACCCCACCCACCTAATGCCAAACATCCCCTATGAAAGAGCTGGTATATTGGGAGGAACATTTGATACTTGGCTTGGGGGAGGATAGTGTCATGTTAGCGGAGAATGCAACTCAGAGGACACTTGGCATGTAATCTCTTTACACGCCCTGTGTCTCCACGACCCGCCTTGAGGGTATATGGCGATGCTAACAGGACGCCTATGGCGTGGATGTCTTTGAACATGGTGGGCTCATGGAGCCCCCTGACCTTTTGCTGGCTCATTGTTAGGGTTTGGGGTTTAGGTTGAGGATGATGATGGTGATGGTGATCATGAATTGTTTGGGGGTTGCCACAGGAGTTATTTGGAATTATAGGCCGCCAACAGAGATCCGTTGTCCGTGCTGTACTAACAGAAGGCGAGGTATCTTGTGACCATGTAACTTCCATGTGTGAGTATCATCGTTTTATTGTCAAGATGCTGGGCCGGATTTGCAACAGGATGTTCATGCGGCCACAACGCAGCTACAGATACAGCGATCAAACAGTTAGTGGTTCCGTGCAAAATTTTGGAGGACAATTATGGCAGACAAATCTTAAATTACGTGTCAAAGAGAAGTCGGCTAGACTCGTCAAACTCGTGTTCATCTCGGCGCAAGGAAGTTCCATAATGAGAGGCCAGAAGCAGGGCCAGAATACATTTACTGATGGTATGGAGCCTCTAGGAGCAAATTGTTGCGGAAGTTGTTCTAGTCCACTCCAGTGCTTCGAGGTTCAGACTTTACTGTTGACCGGCTCAGGGCCCCGGCCCAGGGTGATGCTGATAGCAGTCCCCAGAGGAATCAATTTAGGATTTAGAGTTCAGGGTCAGTTCAGGCTTCAGGGTTTAGTGTTTTGAGCTTGGGGTCATGAACGTGAATCGTTGTGGATAGTTTACTGCAGCTGACGTCATTCTGTTGTGCTACCCTGCATGACACGAAGTTCGCACTTCACTGATAGCCTAGCCGCCAGGGTTTACAATGTGGAGCCTTATAATTCCCTCCTCAATTCCACTGCCCAGCTGCTGTCTCTACAATGTCCCACTTCGATTTACTCAGCACCTACATGGGACGAAGTATGGTCTGAGCAGAAAGGCATGGATCCCATTATTATTAGTAGTATTCGTATTATTATTGTTATTGTTATTAACGCATGGTTTTTACGGAAGTCATCTGCAGCACGGCTTGCGTTTGCATGACATCATTCCCATGCAATCCGCAATCCCATCCAGTCCGTATACCATCCATCCTTGGAACTAGACAGCACAAGAACCCCAAGCTCTGAACTTCCCGGATTAGGTTTTATTCTCCGCAGCGGAGCATCGTCACCACCATCGACAGCCTTTTTGTCCCGCCTGCTAAGGGCATGCAACCTGATCATTGTTACGGCCAATATATACCATTTATAGAATTATATATAGAAAAATATACCCATATATAGGGGTTGTGCGGGTGCATATCGGAGAATTGTAAAGAAAATGGGATCTGCTAGGGTTTAGGATTTAGGTTTAGGGGTATTATTCCATAGATTCATGCACAGTTCTTCAATTGTGCGAGAACGCAGTGGTCAGGCAGCAAGAACGCTTCGGGAACTTTCCGTTCACCTGCGTGGGACCTTTGATGGATGCTAAGGCGATGCAGTTTTTTTGACTGGAAAGACGAAAGTGGGGTTTCCATTAATGAGGGGGGGTCCTTTCTTGCTGGAGGGACTGCCGGAAGACTACCAAAAAAGCCCGCCAATCTCCAAACAGGTGATAATATTTTTTGGGTTAGGGTTTAGGGTTTAGCCTTGATTCTGTACAAACCCATCTCAGCTGAAGCGCGTCTCCCACCCCAACGCCGATCAGCAGACGTCCAACGGTCTGCCATGGGACGCTGGGCTTACTGTAGAAGCCTATATGATCAATATTCTGGTCCCATATTCCTTGTATAATTATAGTTTAGGGTACCTCACATGGACTTCAAAAGGATGTTGGTAATTATTTCGGCACCTATATCATTTTTTTCCTGAAGATCATGGGTTCCTTCCTGGAACCTCTGGCGATGTGCGCTAAACCCGAATTTAGGTTTATCTCGAAAAACCGAATCTAGCGTTGAACTTCAACATCCCACTTAGGTTTTAACTTAAAACCCGAATTCAGGGCTTAACCTCAAACAAGTGTAGGGTTCAACTTCAGTAGGCAGCACATTGAAGAGATTACTGCATGGGTCCTTTGCTACCGAACATATTTCTTCTGAGTGCCGCAGGCGGACTTAGCTCATTGCTGCACCTCTGACCCTGCATGCGTCTATCGCACGGCCAATGATTTTGTTTGCCTGAGCAGGCTTCGGCACACTTTAGGAGTAACAATGCCTGGCTTACCTGCTGACCTTCGTGCAACCTTCATCAATTCATGAAAGGTCGCTGTTGTGTCTTGCCAAACTCGGGGGGGGGGGAGGATGAACTTCAAACCGTAAACCCTAAACCAAATTAGAATTCCTGGCCTGTTGCATGAGCTGTGGGCATCAGTAGTAATTTTGGGAACAATAATAATAGTAACACTACTAGTACTAAAAGAAGAAGTAGTAGTCGCCGTCGGTGTTGTCGTCGCCGTCATCATCCTAGTATTATAGCAATAAATGTTCTTCTAGCACTAACTATCTCCTGTGGGGGGTGCTGCTAAGCTTGGGTCAGTAGCTCAGGTGCTGCTTAATTGTGTGTGTTGTTTCATTCACGAAGCAGTGGTTTTTGTGAGAAATTTGCAGAAGGTTGCCCCAACACCGGGAGACTTGTGACAAGGATGCTCGCACAATGCTTGACCAATGAATGAAGGTATATTTTTTTTATGAATTGCTTGCACCCTGTTTCGACATGTTGCCAGTTGTCAGTTACTCGGCTTCTGATGTTGCACAAGCGTCGTAGCCATGTCTTGCTGGTGAGATGTTGGAGTTTTTGCAAGGCGAGTGCAGCGATGTTTCAATGATGCCGGACATGAGGGGCACAAAGCGGCCAACATGTGGCAGGCATCCACTAAGCTTACAGCTTTTGTCAACTTCGTCCTAAGCCACAAGCCCGGCTGACTCGTGCATGAGGACGTTATTGACGAAGCACTGGCCGCTTCCAAACGCCTGGTGCTGCTTGGCTGAGCTTAGCGTAGTGCGCTGGCAATGCTACTCCTGCATACACGCCAAGAGACGTAATGGCTGTTCCACAGTAGCGGCAAATACCTGGGCTGACAGCACAACGTCAATATTGGGCCGGCACAGAATTCTTAGGTCCTTGTTTCCAGGACTGCTTGATGGGATCGCGTGATTTGAAAAACCTTGCAGGTTCATCTCTTTGGGCACGGTGGCCAACTCCCACTTTTGGGACAAGAAGTTTGGCGGACAGGCGACCAACAATGGACTGCACAACTGCACCGGCAAGGATCGGGTTCAATGTTCATAGATATGCCGGTTGCACGGATCATGTGGGGATCATCGTGGATTGTAAAATGTATGTTGGGGTTGAGGGGTTCTGAAGGCGCTGCTAGCCATGCTCCCAATCCCATACCTGTAAGCAGCTCTAGATGAGGGCATCACGTTCTGACAGACAGCACCTTCACCTGGTCGTTTTACAGATCGTGCGCTCAGTAAACCATTGTAGATGGCATTTTACTCTTCCTTATGCCTGCAGCCCCAAACGCAGCACGCGTCAGACGGTTTGGGCAGCGAGGGTGGTTGAAACTTTGCTGTGCTGGTCAGAGTCAGAGGAGATTGTGCAATTCGTCTTCCGCACTGCCTTCGATGCTCTGAAGCACGAGGAAGATTTGCTTGTTGTTCTGGTCGTGGGGTGCCAGCCTGACGTACTGGATGGCCTGCCTGGCGCGCCGCCCAACTTCATCGTCCGCGAGACAGTTCCGCAGATTGAGCTGCTACCGAAGTGCCATGCTTTCCTGTCGCACTGTGGTGCAAACAGCATGCACGAGGCCCTTGGCTTTGGGGTGCCTATTGTGGGCGTGCCGCTCTTCGGAGACCAGGTGCCCAACAGCTTGTCTGTGGCTCAGGCTGGCGCAGGGTTCTCCTTCGCCCAACCCTTGGAAAATCTTAGCAGCGCCAGTCTGCGTTCCTCCATCCGACAGTTGGTGGACCCGTCCAACGACAACACCTTCCGCAAGGCAGCACAAGCTCTGAGCAAGCACATGCAGTCTGCGGGAGGTATTCGTCGAGCCGCCGACGTGATTCTGGAGACTGCATGGGGGCGGCAATCTGCAGTTGCAGGTGCCTAGGTGCAGATTGCCACATTGGCCATCCCCAATTTCCTGCCAAAAGCGCAGATTCCATAATTTTGCCAGCATGTGTACAGAGCTGCGGGTAGCAGGGCTTAGGAGCCTCAGCACCTCATTGCGGCACTTTCCCTGTAAAGGACTTCAACAAAGCAGCGCAAGCTGCACTCCCATGTTCAGCTCACTTGATGGGCATACCCCTGCTGCTCCTATACAGACAGAGCTCGGGTAGTTTCCAACAAGAAAGAGCTTCGGACGATGCAACAAACAGACCGCCTCCAGTGACTCCGAGGGTTGGTGTGTTCCGCTGTAAGGGCTAGATTATTAGGGGCATGGAAAAGTGGAATCTATTAGTCTGGGGTTTAAGATTCATGGTTTAGGGTTAAGGGATGTTACCCGGTATTACCCCAGCAGCGGAGCATCAAACGGACAGGAAAATGAACGATCAAAGGGAAAATTGGGTCTTCATTCAGGTTATATACTATCCAGTAACTCCAGGACCGGTCATTGGGGGCTAGTCAGTTTTCTAAGACATTGTAGAACACGCAGTACACATGATAGGTAAGGGCAGCCAGCCCGGGACATCTGATGACATCCTGGACCCTCACCTGCCAAGCAGCCAATACAAAGTCATGGAGCTTAACCCCTAGGTTTGGGGTTTAGGGCTTTTGACTCGGACCCCTGTTTAACCCCGGACCCTTCCATCATTTGAATGAGACCCTCTCATCTCGTCATCCTTCTGTATCCCTCGGCCCGTGACCAGGGGCTTCAGGAGCCCTACGCGGACTGTAGCGCTTATGTAGGTGTTAAAAAGAGGTTATGTGTTGACCTCATTTTTTGTGTTAACTTTTGAATCCCTACACCCTGAGCCCTAAACCCCAAACCCTAGATTCCAAACCCCAAACCCTAAACCGTGTACCTTCCATGCTTTGAAAGTTTAGGCCCGGCTCCTGGCAGCTTTGCCTCCGCCTCATCGAAGGTTCCCCGGCCGTGCCGGTTGGTTTGGGACTAGCTCTATAGGGTTTAGGAAGGGTTTAGGGTTTAGGGGGGCTATAGGGGATCCAAATAGCCCAATGTTGGTAATATTTACGGGTTCTCGGGCCCAATCTAGATAATATTTTCAGATTTTAGGGCCCAGTGCAAGCATTGCTTGTATACCTGGACCCCTACATAGCCCCTTTAAAACTCCTGTTTCCATTTTGTCTTCCATGTTGTTTGCCACTTGATTCTCCATTATTGGTATTATTTGTATACTTGGATCCCTAGGGTACCTTAAACGCTAAACCCTAAACTTAAACTCAGGACCCCTTTAAGTAGTATTACTTGGATGCCTAAGGTCGGCTTCAGGGTTGAGGGTTGATTACGGCGTCAAGGTTGGGCTTCTAGTTGATACTACAAACCTAAGGGTCCAAGGACCCAAATAATAGGGCTTTAGGGCCCATATACAATAATATTACTGGTATTTGGGCCCTAAAACCCTATTGTTTGGTCCTAGGAGCCTCAGGGCAAAAGCAGTACCGGCGGAGCTTTCAACAAACAATCTTTCCGTACTCCGACGGATTTAAGTTTTCTCCGCAGCGCTTAGAAACAGAAATTCGAAGTAATATTCACATGATTTTATATCTTGTGTACAATGATTGATAGGGAAAGTATGTCATGACCCGCTTGGGGGGCACATTGTTAAAGTCCATAGCCGCTGCAGCGCCGAAAGCAAACTATTCCAAACCCGCCCTGCCTATGGGATACGCGGGGCGCCGCTGACTTGAGAAATGCCCGAATGATATCGCGAGAGGTCAGGCATTCTTGGATTATTTGGACGACGCAGATGCAGCAGGTGGGAGGGGGTCTACGCATCATTGAAGGTTGTGGCATTGAGGAAAGGTTGACCCGATCCTGTAGGGACCGGTCTAGTCAAGTCTGGACCTATATGACACACAGGTTACATTACAAGACTTACATTTCTTACATTCCATAACTCACCTTCCATACATGTCTCATCATTACATCCTGCATCTCACACACACATCACATACTGTACATTGTCGACATACAGGCCACACATTCATGCATACCTACGCAAGTACACACACATCCAGACTCCAGACTCCAACTCCTGTTGTGTTAGAATCTGTTAGAACCCTACAAAGACCAGAAAATACCAGAAGCCTTCCAGTAATCTTTGAGCATTTGCAGCTCGAGCTTTGCAACCGTGACCCTGCGCTGAGGCATTTTGGAGCTGTTGTGCAGGAGGGTTGTCAGGTGTCAGGATAGTACCCTCAATACTCAAGAACGTGCCCCTTCAAGGGAAATGTTACCTGTTTCCGATTTACGGGATAAAGGGGACCAAATTGAGGCTCTTGCAAGTTGCCAGGGTCTTAAAAGTTCCCAAGCTAAGGCTGTGGAAATACAACCCAGAATACGCCCTATACCCTGAATCTCATTGGTCTCTAGGCCACATCGTTGCACTTGACCTCCCTCACGATCTGATTGATCACAGAACCTAGAATGTGCAAGTTCGAAGCCAGAATTGTCTAGAGTGTCTTTATTGCCATAGATTAACTTCCTATTCATTCAGGCTGCGACAGTAGCTTTTACTTCAGACCTGCGCTCAGCTGGGAGTTGGGGAATGGATCCCTATAGTGGTCCCAAAGCTCTCCCATCACTATCCCTACAACCCATTCTCCCATCCCAACCAAGCATCAGTAAGTCTAAACCCCAAATCCTAAATCTTAAAAAAATGCTAAGCTTCAAAAACACCAAATCCTAAACCCCATACCTAGACCCTAAACCCCAAGCCCTAAACCCCAAACCCCCAACAGTCCCCAGGGCTAAAAACAAATGGTAGTTTCTCAAAATAGGGAGACCCCAATATAGACCCCAAAATACCATAGTCCTTATTATAGGGACCTCCAAAAAGGTACCCCTAATTTTGGGAAACCCCCAGATGGAGGTCGCGAGCTGGCCTGGCATGTGTCTTTCGGATCCACCCGCTTGCGTAGCAGGGCAGCGCCATGGCTGATCTATGGTTTTCAGGCTTTAGGGTTGTGATGAGCTGGAGTTTCCATAGATTAGTGGAGGTTTTCCAAAATGAGGGGTTCCTTTCTTTGAAGGTTATGTAGGGTTTGGGTTATAGGGTTTAGGGCCCAGGGATTGGGGTTTCCCAAAATAAGGGGTACCTGCATAATAAGGAGTATAGCATTTTATTTGGGAGCTGTTTTGGGGACCCCCAACTGAGAAAACTACCCTGTATGGTTTCGTATTGAGTCTAGGCTCCATACGAAGGTTCTAGGCGTAGAGCTATTCCTCAGTGGAATATGCTGCTTATATCCCAGGTGTGGGGACCCTAAACCATGAGCAGTACATCTTCCTTAGGATGACTATGGGTGAGCCCGACAAACACATGGATAAATAGTGAGGATTTGCTATGCTATCTTGGTCTAGGGTTTGTGTGCTATGCCAAATTTGGAAGGGAGATAGACAAACATGCGCCGCCGGAGAAGCTCACAGCAGTGAATTCCAAGACTGAACATATGCATCCAACTGCTGCAGTTCCAGAACTTCCTGTAGTTGATGTCCCTTCCAGCTAGCACCGTCAACAACAACAACAACAACAACAACCACCAACAACAACAACAACAGCGACAAGTTTGCTCCACAACTACCACCACAAAGCAGAACAGCATAATGATGCCAGGGATGACCCGAAGTTGATCTCACACAAGACAGAAGACTTGCCCAGGTTCCAGCGGGAGTGTCACATCGTTGGGATGAGGCACGGAGCCTCCAGGGTTTGAAGCTTGAGCTTGCGGTGTGGCTGTGATTAGGGTTGCCCACAATCCTGGACACAATGATATAGAGGTCTGGTGGAGTGTACTGTTGAGCTCGCTTAACCACCTCCCCCCCCCCCCGCCCCGCGAATCAAAAAGGGGCCTGGGGCCGGAGCTATCTCCCAGGGGTCATCATCGTCATAGTAGGCGTAGTAAGTAGGGAGGACTTAGAGTAGGAGATGGAGAAGGAGGAGCAGGAGAGGATTTTAGTTTGATTTAAATTCCGAGCTATTCGAATCAGTTTTACAGTTTTTGGTGTCCCGGAACTTCATTATTACCATCCCTGACAAATTCACCCCCTGAACGCTCAACGGCCAGATAGGCTATGTCAAGAAACGCCTAGGTGCAACGTTAAAACAAATCAACACTCCGAGATCCGAGGATTTTCTCTGGCCACGGTAACTTTATCATTACCATCCCACTTATTAAAATCATCTGGACATTACCGTAAGCAAGTCCTGTGACGCAGTGTGCGGCTGAGAGCGGATAGCTTCAGCCACAAGAGGGCCTGCATTCGGTGTCACAGGATTTAATTCATAAGTTTCACCGTCTTTCTGCTAGGCTGTATTGCCTTCCTCTGCCTTTGTCATGATTCTTCAGCGGCGAACATACAATACTCTAAAATCCCAACCTCCCAAAACTGTGACACCAAGCCCAGAACCATAATTACCACATATGCTAGTGGTAGTTTCCGCAAATAAGGCAGCCCCAATATAGACCCCAAAACACCTCAAAATGGTACACCCCCCCAAGTCGGGGGAAATCTCATATGGACACGTGCAGAATCTCTTCTTGAAGCTGCCGGACGCCGCGTCGCGCAATGGACTCTGGGCTGCACTGCAGGGTATGGTTTAGGGTTTCTAGGTACCCCCAGTAATACCTTTTTCCCTTTTTATTTGGGGTCTCCTTGTAAAAGCTGAAAATTAGGAAAAAGGGTACCCTTGTAAATTATGGGGTTACTGGGGAACCTAGGTTTACGGGTTCAGGGTGCGGGCAGAGACCCGTTGAGAATGCAGAAGGCGGTTCTGAGCTAGTAGTTCTCCTTGAGAACCCGCCTTGGTTCCTTAAATTTCCGTTCTAGGGGTTGTTCTAAAAGGGGTCTGTCCTACATAGGGGCCACCACGAATCTACCCTAAATTTAGGGGATGCCCAAAATGTCAAGCAACTTCTTCTAGG